GCCGCCGTGGCCAGCGGCGGCGGCGTCGTCGGCGGGGGCGCGGCGGGCGGCGAGGGCGACGACGGGTTCGGGCCGCTGGCGCAGCTGCCGCCGCGCCGCACGTCGAGCGGGGCCGCGCTGTCTGCACCCACGAGCTCTTTCAGGCTCACCTAAGCAAAGGCCTCGGCGCCTGCACACCTGCCCGGCAGCTGCTCAGGGTTCGTTGGAAGCCTGCACGCGCGCGAAAGCTTTTGCGCTGCCAAGACGAAAGTCAAATAACAGCCACCACCTGCACACTGTGCGCGCGTGTCTCTGCAAGGCGTGTCGGGCGTCGCTGAGGTGGCGTAGCGCATCACTGCTTCGACTGCAGTGCACGTGTCGATGATTTTGTAGGGATTGTCGCGCCGATCGGATCAGAATCGAATATGGCTTTGCGCTGTTTGCACCCACAGCGTGTGCTTTTCCTGCGGCCACGTCCTCTTTGCACGGGCGGCCCAACAGCATCACCGCCAACCCACCAGGCAGCCCATGCTTTGCAGCGGCGCAGGGCAGCCCCCGCCGCACAATTACACACTGCTTCGCTACCGGCAAACGGGGCGTTCCCCCTCTTGCTGCGTCGGCCCCTTTTGGGCGCCCGCCCTGCGCCCGCCCGGCGCGGTGCCCGCCGTGCTGCCCCGCCCGCCCTGCCGTCCTTCTGGCGGCTCGCGTGGCCGGGGCGATGGGTGGCCGCAGCGGAGGCCCGCGAATGCCAGGGGCGACATTCTTGTGGTGTCACGCCAGTGCACCTCCCTACTTGCTGGGTTATGTATTGCTGAGTCAGCATTTGCAGTCACGCGCACACAAAACAACAGATCCACACATGCACACGCATGCACACACAAGGCATTAATGTGCGGCCTCGTCCGCCGCCGCTGCGTCGGCATTGAGGACAGGGGCTTGGGACTGGTCGAGCGGCCTGCTTGCACACCACAGCGTATGCACCACACCCAAATGTTTGATGGTATTTATGGGCTCAAGTTCTTGGCTCCGTTTGCACAGATGCATCTCATGGGTTGGGCAAGGGCATTTTAGCACACCGTATGCTGGGCACAGGGTTTTGTGCTGATGTCAGCAGCTGATCAGCAGATCCATCATCTTGGGCACTTGCACCACTCCAGTCACAACAGACTCTTGAAGCCTTGCGCTCGCGCCGCCCACCCCGCATCGCACACTGATGCATTGGGCAGCGCCTGCGCCTGCACAGTAACCATGGAATTTGAAGAGGTTGCGGCTTTTTCCTGCTGCAGCCAGACTGGATAGACACGGACCAAACATAGTGCAATGGGATGCAATCAATCAGGGGTGTATGAACTGCCAAAAAGAACAGCGGAATGGGCGTTGGATGGTTGTTACACCGCGCCTCTGCTAATCAGGTTTTGAGTTGCAGGGTGTGCAGTAAGGACGCCGGGGAGCCCGCGCTGGCGCAGTCAGGGAGGACAAATGGACAACAGCCAGCGCGCAACATAACAGCCCCGATAACGCAGCACCCAACAGGGTGCAGACACGCAGCGGCCAGGGCAGCGTTGCGGCAGGGACGCCACTTCGGGGGTCGCGTCGCTCAACTCATAGACAGCGTTGGGCCGAAAAACGTCCAATCAGGCACCTCCAACGATCAGGGCAACACTCTGGCCTCAAGCGTCACGAGGTCACGAGCGGCCAACCCCCCCCAAAACCCTCCCAACGCAGAACAGGCCGATGCAGGGATCAGAATTGTGGCCCGACAGCATAACGGCTGCGGAGCAGCCACATCAGTGTGCTTTTGATAGCCCTCTCCTCTCCTTTTCCGAAGGCACAGTCGCAACCCTCTAACAGCGAACCCCCCGCTCAGGCGCTCAAAACATGGCACGCTCCCCAAAAAACAACGCCGTCCTCACAACACGCACAACATCCGGCTGCTGAAGCAAGAAGGGCAAAATCGCAGCCGGGGCCGACGCCGGCGCACACGCCGGCCCGGGACCGCACAAACAGCTGCGGACGGCCGCTCAGACGAACCGCGAGTCGGCGCCCGCCACGGCGGCCGCCCGCGCGCGCTGGGCCTCTGGGATTCCGAACCCAAACTTGATCACGCGCGCCACGAAGCGGCGCCCCAGCGCGCCGCTGACCTCCCTGGCCAATTCCTGGGCGCCCGGCTGCTGCAGGGCCTGCGGGGCGCCGGCGGGCGCGCAGGCGTGTGTGTGTGTGTTGGGGGGATTGACTGGTGACGGTTGAATGTTGGATGATATCACAGTCAATTTTGAATGATGTGTGCTGACTGGCGGCGCCTGGCCGCGTGGCAGCATTGCTTGGGTGTGACAGACGAGGTAAGTCATGCATGATTAGTCAAAAGGGGGGTCGGCAACGCATTCACTCCGGCGGGGAGGAGCCGCCTTAACACGGGGCGAGCGGAGGGGTGAGGTTTCCGGGGAGCTGCAAAGCGCACCTGCTGGAGCTGCGGCCAGGCCTCCGCGGTGGCGTCGCGCACGGTGTACACGAGCCGCTGCACGTCACCCGGCGCCGGCAGGCCCCAGGGGCCGGAGCCCTCGGGCAGCTGCGATGGGGGGGAGGGAGGGCGGCGTCAGCGGTGACGAATTGGGTGACATATAACGGCCGTGTGTGCATGTATTATGTAGTCCTGTTCAGGGACTCCTCGACATGCAAAACATTGAAGCGGCCCAGCGTTTTATGGCTAAGATGTGGACATGCAGCAGCCCAGCCCCAGCTGGCACTCCCAGCCCCGGCGCACAACTCCACGCCTCTCACCCCCACGCGGTCGCGCCGCCCGCCTGACCCAAGACGCTGCAGCCCCTGGCCCACCTTGAAAACTGCCCCTGGCGACTGCAGCCGCCCGCCCAGTGCGCGCATCAGCACCATCGCGCGGTCCCGCGCCTCCTCCTCCGCCGGCTGCGTGGGCACGAGCGCCTCGGCGGCCGCGGGGCCGCCGGGCAGCTGCCGGGCTAGGCGGTCGCGGGCGTCGGAAGCTGCCAAGGCGTCCAGCATGCGCGCCAGCTCCTGCCCCACCTGGTAGTGGTTTGACCGCGTCGCATGTTGGGTTGGGTTATCGAGGTGCATCATTTTGGGTGCATGATGGCGTCGTCCGGTGCTTTTGTTGCTTTCGCGAAAAGGACATCGTGGCTGCAAGGCTCAAGCCGCTGATCTTCGACGTCAGCGGAACAGCGTGGCGGCCGCGCAGAGGCGCTCGACTCGGCGGACAGATCCCCTTCCCCGCGGCCAAACTGCGGGGACCTGGCAAAGGTGCTCCCACCCCTGCCGAGACAGCCAGACCCCCA